TGATCAGACAGACAGGTGTTCAAACAGACAGGTGTTCAAACAGACAGGTGTTCAAACAGACAGGTGTTCAAATAGACAGGTGTTCAAACAGACAGGTGATCAGACAGGTGTTCAAACAGACAGGTGTTCAAACAGACAGGTGTTCAAATAGACAGGTGTTCAAACAGACAGGTGTTCAAACAGACAGGTGATCAGACAGGCAGGTGTTCAAACAGACAGGTGATCAGACAGACAGGTGTTCAAACAGACAGGTGTTCAAATAGACAGGTGTTCAAACAGACAGGTGTTCAAACAGACAGGTGATCAGACAGACAGGTGATCAGACAGACAGGTGTTCAAACAGACAGGTGATCAAACAGACAGGTGATCAGTCCTCTTTCTCCCTCTCTTCATATTTTCATCTTGTATTTCTCCCAAAAGATTCAGGTAGAATCACACAGATGGTTCAGGTGGTTCTGATGGTTCTGATGGTTCAGGTGGTTCAGGTGGTTCTGATGATTCGGGTGGTTCAGGTGGTTCTGATGGTTTAGGTGGTTCAGGTGGTTCTGATGGTTTAGGTGGTTCAGGTGGTTCAGGTGGTTTAGGTGGTTCTGATGGTTCAGGTGGTTCTGATGGTTCAGGTGGTTCAGGTGGTTCTGATGGTTCAGATGGTTCAGGTGGTTCTGATGGTTTAGGTGGTTCAGGTGGTTCTGATGGTTTAGGTGGTTAAGGTGGTTCAGGTGGTTTAGGTGGTTCTGATGGTTTAGGTGGTTCAGGTGGTTCTGATGGTTCAGGTGGTTCAGGTGGTTCTGATGGTTCAGGTGGTTCAGGTGGTTCTGATGGTTTAGGTGGTTCAGGTGGTTCTGATGGTTTAGGTGGTTAAGGTGGTTCAGGTGGTTTAGGTGGTTCTGATGGTTCAGGTGGTTCTGATGGTTCAGGTGGTTCAGGTGGTTCTGATGGTTCAGATGGTTCCGATCTGGTCTGGGTCTCACGCTGAGTCACTGTTTAATGAGCGATGAGTCATGTTTACTCTCCTACAGTCATGTGTTTAATGTTTAACTGATCTGAAGAATCCTGACAGACAAACAGTTTCTGCTTCACTTAAATAACAAACTTTAAATTTAAAAACGTTTGTTTTCATCATCTTCAGTTTGTTTGGGTTTGAACAGGTT